CGTGCGGTTTCCCAAGGAACACAACACCCTCTCCCTTCTTGCCAAGAAAATCAAGAAGACCGACGAATTGGGTCGGATTGCATTCCATATCCCCGTAGACGCTGCCCTGTCGTTCAAGCGCCACCAGCGATCAGTCGCAAGGCGTGAAAGGAATCTCGGACACATCCGTCTGGGTGACCCTCCGAGGCAATCGCACTGCAGCAGCGGCACCCGTGGGCAGGTTTACCTCGTAGACCACAGACGTGTTGACGCGCAGATCGTCACCCTTGAAGAGGATGTACATGCGGTCTTCCTCCGTGTACAAATTGTTCCCAACGGGGAAGCTTTTTTTTTGCTGCACTTTCCGCACCCACTTCCCTTCCAACAGCTTGACGAAAGAAAGATGGTGCATGCTGGCGAGAAACAATAGGTTGTGTTGCCGCGACACGAAAACAACGAGAGTCCAGTGCGAGGGACACCACGTCTGAAGATAGGAATTCAAAGTCTCCCACGCTTGGGGCTTCCACAGTTTAAGGTCAACCAGCTCGCACAGATCTAGGACGAACATGTGGCTCTTTGTGGCAGCCACTGCCTCCTTCAGCTCTTCGCCCCTGATGTCCGCCTCTGAAGGGTCGTTGGTGAACGGCGTGATAGATGTCACGTCCCCCGTGTCTTTCCATTTAATGTGAACGACGCCTTCGGCAAGTGCGACTTCCCGGCTCTTCAGTCTGCTTCCATTCAACACGGAGAGAACCTTGTTTCTTCAGTCGACGGACAACTTCTTGTGGCCCGCCAACTTCTCCGTCACCTCAATCGACTGGTCCTGGTCGCAACCCATGTACGGCGGGCAGTCCTTGAATAGCGCCGAGTCGGAAATGTGTTTCCTGTTGTTATCCCACAACTCGTCATCCAATCCCTGACCTTCAAACTTTTTGAACACGGCAGACCTCGATATCAGGAAAGGGTACCTTAGGATCCAGTCCGCGTCCGGCCTCTTCTCGTGTTTGAATTGGTAGTAGTTCCACAACCGGACCAGGACGTGGTCGCACTTCACTAGCTGAACCATGTCTTGCATGCTGAGCTTTCCCAACTTCGCCAACGACGGGGAGCCGGCCTGGACCCAAACGACCTTGCAAGCAAGCACCTTTTTCAGAACGCAACACTTCTCATTGTCCGTAGGTGACTTCATTGCTTTCCAACAATGCGCGTCCGGGTCTGGCACTTGCACGAACCAATCGCCCTCCTCTTTCTCCTTTTTGCTCTTTTTATTCGGCGGGTCCACGGGGACGTTGTACACCACCTCCGTTCTGCCCAATTTGTCGTTGTGGATGTAGGCGACCCCAGGCTTTACGTTTTTGACCTTTTTCTTTTTGACGGTCCACTTCGCCCCATCGTGGCTCAGCAATCTGCCCGTCTCCCATTTTTCGAAAAATTCCACGGCCAGTTTCCAGACATTTTCCCCGGCCATCACCAGAGGTAAGTAAGAACGCAGGGCAGCATTTTGCTTCTTAATGGCCTCCTCTTCCTTTTGATCCGCGAGAAGCCACAAGCTGTTTTGAGGCGCCTTATGGAGGGTCGTTGTACAAAACTTACGCTAAGCCCGGACCTGATCTTATTTCCCGCTAGGGTTCCCCATCACAGCTCTCAGGCAGCCTTCATGCTTCCACTGCCATCGAATGTCTTTCATATAAATTTTCAACTGTCTGGGAGGCGCCTTGAGGTCCTTCTTGTTGTCCTGTGAACTAACAAGAAAATACCCTTCGAAGTCATCGTCGGAAAAGTACACCATCCGTGCCGGCCACCGCTCGAAATTGTACTTCTTGGCCACCTGGCTGCCGGGCAGCGACCTGGCTGCAGCCGCGTTGTGCTGCCCGCACACCGCGTAGTAGTAGTATTCTCCTGCCAGCTCATCCTTCCACTCCTCTGGCTTCAGACGTTGTGCCTTGGTCCCAGGAGTTGGTTTTTGAAGCCCCAGTGGTGGAAGCTTGAAGACCGGGAACTCGTACGTCAGTTCTTTATTTTCGAACACAGACCGCATTGCTTCCCTTATCGTTTCCACGAGGACGGGATCTAGCGACCGCTGGTTGTAAGGATCCTCCCACTCCCTTATGTCAACGATCTGAGCCGGGCTGATCAAACTCCCGCCTTCTCCTGACGCCGTCTTTGTACTCCAGGAAGTACCCGGCGTCCACGTCGATGGCAGGCCGTGGTGAAGAAGGTCCCGACTCAGGCTGTTTATGTTTCGAAGCTGGACGTTTGCTACCCGGGTGACCCTCTTCCACCCCCCTCCCCTTCCGTTTTTCTCCCGCAGTCCTCGGGGTCTTGGTCTTCTGTTTCTTCGAAGAGCCCACCAACTCTTCTTGACATTCTCCCCTCCTTTTTTGGGGAGTGCCCTGCGCTCCCTCCCCGCCCACGGCCTCGCCTTCCGCGCCATGGCCCTCGACGGGATCCATGTCAGACCCACACATGACTCCCTCTTCTCCGGGATCCGCTGCAGTCTGTTGCCGGACCTCAGGTATGGACAGCACGGACCTGTCTCTTTCCCTCGATAGCGAAAACGGCGGATGCGGTGTCGCCTCATCTTCTATGTCGTCAAACTGACCTCTGACATCCTCCCGCTGCACATGTGTAGCCTCCCCGGAACCCAGATCGCCCCCCTCCCGCACTGGCCCGCTCGACTCACAACCGCCACACGGTTGCAAAGGCATCGACAGTTCCAGGTCGGGACCGACTTCGCAAGGGACGTCGAGGGCGATGCCCTTGTCCTCCAACAGGTCGAAGAACTCTCGACCCAAAACAAACCCGCCCTGCCGCCGGAGGTCGTTGTAAAATGGGGTGTTCGCAGCACCCGCTCCGAACCCCTCGAACAGACATATGTCGAGAACTGCCCCCTTGGCACTGGTGACGACGTTCCCCTTCGAACCGTACACATGTTTCATGTAAAACCGTCGACGAATGCCTTTCGCATTCTCCCACCGCAAGACAAACCCCAAAACCCTGCGGCGCTTGTTGGCTTCGACGAAGATCACAGGACCACACGACTGTTGGACTGGGTTCGTAGCATCAACACAGCACCGGTCGACGAACCATTTCGACCTAGCGTGGTCGGACCACGTCCTCGAGGTCGTGGACGACCGTTTTGTAGAATCTTTCCCAGATCCCATCCCGGAGGTCGCTGCTGGCTCCCCTTCGCCCCTGGACGAAGACATATTGTATGCGGACGACAACAGAAAGCAAATAAAACACCAGCGAGCGTCAAATCGCAGTCAAAGTACAACGCAGGCAAAAAACAGAGGAGGCACACCTTGCCCTCGACACGTCGGTCACATGACGCTATTCGAGGACCTCGAAGTTCGGATCCCGGCGAACTTCTAACGTGAAGATCAGCAATGACCTCTCACCTGCAACAAGATCATTCTTTACAAGGGCACACGCTTCATGCAGACGGGCGACAACCACGTCGGTTTTTTCCGGAACACGGATGTCCACCCGATCGGGAATGGATGGGTGGTGACGCACAAAGCCCGCGTTGGACGGGGCAGTGTCGTCCGTTTAGCAATAGGAACCCGGACAGTTCAGGACGCGAAGTTCGCCGAGATCCGTACTAAAAGTGCMTGTCCGAAGCCRAACCAAYGCACCCACCGAAACGTGAAGTTCGCCGGGATCCGAACTTCAGGAAAATGYGACAGGCAGAGACGGCGTCAGGCAAACACAGATTGGACTGAACGACGACCCGGAAAGGCCGCACTAACACAAAAGGCCGCTTGAGAAGGACAAGTTCGCCGAAATCCGAACTTCTTCTGATATGCGAAGCTTGGCATTGGATGAAGCCAAGTTCGAACGAGCAGCCGCGACAACATTATATGAGTCCCTAGAGGAGCATTTGTGGATCAGGGTTTGACTTGTGTCGCAATTCACCGAAGATCATCAAGCCCAGCGCCCGTTCAATACACAGGCATCACAAGAAGTTCGCCGGGATCCGAACTTCACGAGGCTGCGAGAGAGACAGACCAAAAGTTGGGATCCTAGCAAGGTGTCCTTGCACGATGCCAACGGTATTTCCAACAAGAGGGCCCGCCAACCGGGATCTCCAACGGGTTTCAGGGAACGCGAAGCTCGCACGACCTTGCGACGGGGATCTCTGAGAGTGCGTTTGGCATCTCGCATGACAGTGACCGACTGTTTGGCACATGTTGATGGTGGACGGGCGAAAACCGGTTACGGGCAGATCCTTCCACGGTGATGGGTCTTTCCCACGGCCCGCCCGATACCAATGACATCAGAGACAAATTAACGGAGAGGCCAGAACGCGAAGTTCGCCGAGATCCGAACTTCGTCGGGGCACGACATGGCAGGAGATGGCGTCAGAGACAGACATCCAACATGACTTTCGTGATGTCACTGAACCGAACGACGATCAAGGATTTGCACGACAAGCACGCGGTGCAGCGTGTACCAGCAACCGCGGAGTCTCACACTTCTTTGCAGTCCTACAAATCTGACATGTCAGGCAGCACAACCGCATCTCGTCCCTCGCCGTTCTTTTCCCTCAAACAGAAGGACTAAAGACCGGTTCGGATGCGGCGACATTTGGGGATCCTCCGGGACGACGTTGTGAACCGAAGCCAAACAAAGCATTCAGTGACGATCTGTAGACGAGGGTCTGCGGTTCGTCGACCGATGCAATCTTCAAAAAAACGGACATGTATTTCATCCTAACAAACACCCCCGGTCGTGCCAAGGAGTTTCCTATGCAGTCCCGTATGTCAGCCGCTTTCTCCTCAACCTCACGAAACAACGAATAGTTTCGAACCTGACCTGCTATCACCAAATCTGGCCACTTATCCACATGTTCAGGCCCACGCATCGGCACGCATTTAAACCCTTCAATCACAACCTCGTCACGAGCACAACTGCATCGACGAGTTTCCTGCTCTTGTTCGAAGCAGCGACACACAAAACTCTGGCGAAATCAGATCCGGACACAGTCAACCGCACACAGTAGTACGACACAGCTCGTGGAGAAATCCCGGGGCAACGGAGCGGGTACTGGTCCAGGAACGAGCAGTGACGAGCGCAGTCCATCAACTCTTGTTTCCGCGAGCCATCCCCAAGTTCGTGGCGACGACCTGACGTTGTGGCACTCGAGGCGACTGAAAAAGCGGCTAAGGCAGCTTAGTGCTTTTCGCATTTGGTTCAGGAACTTATGTCCGAGGACGGCGTCAGGAAGTGGGATGAGGTCCCCGAACTCCAACATATTCGCGAACTTGTACGGGCTTGCCCAAGGGCAACGACTCTCCATACTGGCCCAATTACCCTCGCCCTGGTCGTCAAGATGTGCGTCCCTACACGGAACGACGGTCATCCATGGGTCCTCGTCGAAGTCTTCTGCGGTCACTCCGTGGATCGTCGTCACACCGTTGAAATGCCGCACGGATTTCACACAAGGACGAAAAGGTTCTGCTAAGCGAATGTGCGTCTCGACACTCATGGCCTGTGGTCTCGAGAAGATCGACTCAAAGATGCGTGGTGTCGAGAAGGTCCCCTCCATCACGCAACCTGCACACCACGCGCACATGCCCGACGACACACACGGGCACGGAGACACTCGTAAACGCGTCATGTCTCACGATGTGCGACCCATGGCATTAGACGCAGTGTATGCCCCAAGATCCGATTTTGGGTTGCCGGCTTCGTCGGTGTTCACATCTATCGGCATGCGGGCCAGCCACAAACACGCTCATCGACATGGCCCTGCAGGAACATCTCCTGCCACATGCATTGCGAAAGGAAGAGAACTCAAATTCGTCGAGATCCGAACTTGGGAAATTCACCGGGATCCAAACTTGCGAAAGGAACATCTCTTGCCACATGCACTGCGAAAGGAAGACAGCAAGTTCGGATCCACGGCCCAGCAGGCGAACCCGACGATGGGACGAGGAACCATTGCACGAGAATTACGGATCTTCGGGGGACTTCGCATTTTTCTGAAACAAAAGTGGTGGCAAACACCCATTCGCGACAAAAGACACAGTCAGTACCCACACCATACCCGACGCGAAGTTCGCCGAGGTCCGAACTTGCCACGCGATGTCCGGATTCACGGAAGGGTGTTCGTCGGGATTTGAACTTCTCGAGACCGCGTGGGAGAATCAACCGGCGGGCTACATATTTTTTCAAATACAAAGTTGTGCTTAACCCCGGGAGCTAGAAACCCGCGTTTTGAACCCGCACATTGAGACAAGCGAAGTCCCCGGGGTGCGAACTTGACGTCTGTGTGAGGAACCGTGCAGTAGAAGTCCGGATCCTGGAGGACTTCGCATTATTACGGATCCGAGGTTTGCCGAGGTCCGGACTCGACGAGTGTGGAAGGAATAGTGCGAGCGAGGTTTGGATCCGCAGGCCAGCAGGAACCTGTAGTTGGCCGGGATCCGAACTTTGAGAAATTACATGGGAGATACACACCTGTCTGCCAAACTCGCCGTCCTGCGAATTTCTTGAAGTTCGGATCCCGGAGGACTTCATATTTTTCCAAGTCCCAGGCTGTGGTTGCGGACCTGGGTTGCGAGGGAGACATACAGCTGCATGAAGTTCGCCGGGATCCGGAATTGGCGAAATTGCATGGGAAACAATCACCTGTCTGCCGAACTCGCCGTCCAGCAATTTCTTCAAGTTCGGATCCCGGCGGACTTTCAATTTTTACATGTCCCGGGCTGTGGTTGGGGACCGGGGTTGCGAAGCATGTTCGAACAGCTGCATGAAGTTCGCAGGGATCCGACCTTGGCAAAATTGCGCAGGAGATGAACACGTGTATACCAAACTCGCCGTCCAGCAATTTCTTGAAGTTCGGATCCCGGCGGACTTCTAATTTTCCACGTCCTTGGCTGTGGTTGCGCACCGGGGTGGTGGGTGCTCAAAGTTCGACGTCCGCCGAGGTTTGATGCGGAGCCAGGTTCCGTGGGCAGTGTGGTTCGATGTTATACGAGGTTCGATGTGCAACAAGATTGTGACGAAGTGCTTTTTATTCGTTCGAACATCGGGATCGATATTTTTCCGATCTGTTGTGCGTTTCATTCGCCGGTTTCGACCGTGCACATGATCATTTGCCTTGAGGATTCTCCGCGAGTGTTCCCCACGATCAATTAGCACAGAACAATCGGTCGGCTGCTCAGTTGGCGGTTGGTATGGTGGTTGATCAACCAGCAGAGCAATCGCCAACCGAGCTGTCGACCAATCAGTTGATCCTGGCAGATTTCCTGACCGATCGACGGTTCGGTCGAGGACTGTCAGGTGGGTAAGTAAACAGGTCGCTCGCCGGGGGGTTGATCTTCGGTGCAGCATACACGATCAATCATCCGATCGCAAGTAATCTTTTGTCGCCTCCTCCATTGGTTAATCATCCGTCGGGCAGATCAGCGACGCTGTTGTTGGGGAGGCAAACAACATCTATCACCCGATCGCGAGTGGTCGGCTTGCGTTTCGTGATGGGTTGGTTCATCACGTGTGTGGTGTACATATTGCCATGGATCTGAGCGACCATCAGATCACGAGTAATCTGAACACACACGACGAAAAAAACAACAAACACGCGCTGGTTGCGTCGACACGGCAGACACGACCAATCATCCGATCGCGAGTGATCTAATCGTGTTTCGCGATTGGTCGATGGATGAGTTAGCTGTGTCGACATTGCCACCATGATCATCCATTGGGCAGATCGGTGGACATGACATAGGGACAGCCCACAAAACCGCCGCATGTTTCGATTAATCATCCATTGGACAGATCGGCGGACATGACATTGTGACAGCACACAAAACTGTCGCGTGGTCGATCCGAGCTGTATCGACATTGCCACCGCGTGTTTCGATTGATCATCCATTGGGGCGGATCGGGTATGGCAAGTGCTCACGATGACGTTGTGTTTCGTTATTGGCCGCCCCGTGTTGATCCGAGCTTCCGTGCTTCGCCACTTGAGTACAGCACGAGCGCAATCGTCTGTTGATACTCTCCTCACACATCCTCACACATCCACATACAAGCGGAATCGAAGGGTGAACCATGATGTTCGTCTCTGACCCCGCACGTTTGCGCGCATCTCTCCGCGGAAAACGCGCGCGAACACACACGCATGCAAACATATATGCACAGACAGGCACACACACGCACACACACACACACACACACACACACACACACACACACACACACACACACACACGCACCGACACACGGCGCCCGCACACACACGCCCCTCAGGTACACATGCGCGCACGATCCTGCCTCGCGCGTGTGGCACACAATTCAATACAGACAAAAACACAAAGGAACACGCACTCGAACACACACACACACACAATGAAACATGCACAAACACACAATCACACACAAATACACACACACACACACGCCCACCCGCACACATGCAGCCACGAAATCTTTCGATCTGCGCGAGCATATCGTCACAAAAAACCTCCCTCGCATGCGCGCACATGCAAACATACATCCCGACTGCATGCGCACTCACCGTGTGGAACTGCCGAGTGAAGATGAGCGCGAACCCCGGCGTCTGTTGTGACGACACTCTGTCCACCTTTGGGCGTGCACTTCGCGTTTGCTGGGGTGCTGCGTGGTGTGGCGGTCGCGCCTTCCGAGAAAGGAGATCGAGAGCGACATCGAATATGACGTGGACAGTGACTTCGTAGGCGGAGGGACATGCGAGGGCATGTGGGGTGCGTCGGTGCCACGAAACGTGCGCGGTGAAGAATGGTTGTGCCAGCTATGGCGCGCCAGCTGTTGACGACAATGGCAGTGCGTGGCTTCCGTCGTGCAGCATCTCCCCAGCAAAAAACGCAAAACGCATCGTCAATGCCCAGGGCGCCGCTCGTATTTGTAGGCGCGCGGGACACGAGGCCCCCTCGGGCCTTCCGTTTCGGATTTTCGTGCAGGGTCCGCGCCCCGACTCTAGTCTGTTCGATCCGCGCATCGAACGGTGACTGCACGTCGAAATTGTCGCGAGGGGGGCCTGGTGTGTCGAAACGTGACAAAAACGTCCCTACAGGCTGGCCCTTCCCGGACGTCATTGGAAAACGGGCCCTTGTTCCGGGCCCCTCGCGTTCGTGTCTTCGGGTTCGCGGGCCCCGGTGGAGGGGGTCTCAGGTGTCGGCGGGGGGCAGTTTGTACTTTCCAGGGGTAAGAGGGGGAAACCCCAGGAGG